AACTGAATTATAGATCTTTATGCCGATTTTTTTGTAATCGCAATAATCATGATAATTAAACTCACAATTTAGTCCATTTGTGAAAAATTGCAATAATAAATGCACGCAATAATTTCTGAATTTACCAGTAGGTAAAAATGTTGTCAGTTAGTGAGACACAAATTTTCCAAGACAATATATAATTCTTTTGGTTGTTTTGTTTGGTTGCTGTCTCATTGAACAAAACTGTATTTTATTTCTCCTTTTATTCAGAAAATATAACTTTTGAAATAGAAACTGAGTAGCATATGGATGGAAAACAAATGCCAAATGATGTAAAACAATCCAAGTGGCCATTTAGGTCAGGGGTTGGTAAGGTAAAAGATGAGGCAAAGGCATGTGCATTTACCACAACTGCCACTTGGTATTATGATTTCCAAAATTTACTAATCTCATAGCTACCTTCTGTATTAAAGACAACTGCATATAATGCAGTTTGCATATCATGAATCATGTTTGCAGCAAAATTCACTACAGACAGCAAAAAAAAAATAATTCAGCCCTATTAAAATTCATTTTTTGAAACATTTTTTATTTTTATTCCTAAAATGCTATGAGATCAAATTTATAAAACATTTATTAGCATTGTAAATTTCAATATACTAGTAATTGTTGACATGTATACATCATGTGCATGTACAATCATTAGCTGATCAGCTCTATATTTTCATTATTTGTATATCAATATTCTTCATCAGTGTTTTTTATAAGACTCAATAATCTGTATTTATCATTGGGACAGGTAGGTAAAGTAGGTCCTTTTGATCTTGGATTTCTTTTTATGGATTTTGACAGCACTAAAGCATATAGTTTCAAATTAAAGTTGATCTTGGCTTCTTAAGTGGATTCTGACAACACATTGCAAATATACACCAAGTGTAGAATAGATGATCTTGGGTTCTCGCATATGGATTCTGACAGTACTTTGATTATACATGTAGTTCCAAGTATTGTTGATCTTGGCTTCTAATGTTGTTCTTAAGTTTCAGCACTTTACATATAGTTCCCAATTGCAAGACAAGATGATACTGGCTTCTCATGTAAATTCTGTCAGTTCTTTGCCAATCGTTTCAAAGTAAAGTTGAACATTCTAGGATCTTTCACGACAAATCACTCCTTCCACTTACATGTACTTGATGCCTGAAATTAAAAGACAGAGTAATTCTGTCAGAAAATCAACCATGATTGACATTTAAAAGCATAATGTAGTTCATATTTTAAATAAATGGGGAATGTGTCCATGGGACACAGATGATGCCCCCGCTTGCATATAAAGTTATAAAGGAACATAACTAAAGAACGGTAAGAGTGACACTACCCAAAGTTTTACTTGATCTGAGTTTTGTTGTAATAAGTAATGTGTATAAGTTTCATAAAATTTGAGGCAAACTTATGTTTGAGAACGGAAACAAAAAAATTCAGCAACTTTTCCATTTGTAAAGGGGCATAACTCTAGAACAGTAAATTAAAGTGACACCACCAAAAAAAAATCAAACTTGATCTGTGTTTGTTGGTAATAAGCATTGTGTATAAGTTTCATAACATTTGGTTGAGGCAAACTGAAGTTCAAGAACGGACACCAATTTTGGGACATACGTAAAGACAGACAAGGGTAAAACTTAATGCCCACTCCGCTACGTCGTAAAAAAATGAAGAATTTGTGCCAACAATAATGAGCAAACAAAATAAAACTACATGCACAGCAAGTGTAAATAGTGATTTTGTTTTTATATATACATGTATATGTTAAATACAGACTTCTTGGGGCATGCTGTTTCGCTGCCAGGGACAAGTTATTTATTGTTATTTCTCTGCCTAAAAATTCTGAAATGCAGCTGAGCTACATTTTTACTCCTTTTCAACCAAATTATGCTGAGGTGTTTTGTAACCTGTTTGGAACATGGGATACACAAATTTTACACATTGTCAAATTTTATATTTAAAAATACTAAGCACAAAACAATAATGAATTTTTCAACTCAAATGTATGTGTTATTTGGTAAACAAGATAAGCCCTACGTGTATGTTTGAACCTGATACTTGATTTTTTATACCAATGAGAGACGTGGTTTGGGGGGGGGGGGGGGGGGGGGTTAATTGTAAACAAATTGTGATTAAGACGAATCCATCAATAAAATGTATTGCCTCGTACTGTAGGGTTATAATTTACAAATTAGGCCATTTATATTCCCAAGAAAACAAACAAAATAATTGAACCCCTTGAGGGGTTGGACAGGGGTAAAGGAACATGAGAATGAGGGATCAGGAAGCGGGAAAAGGGGGGTACCATGTGCAGGTCCTTTAGTTAGCCTGGTCTGAAGTGAAAACAAAAGTAACTAGTTTGGTAGAAGTAAATCTTATGAAGATTATAAATAGAAAAGACCCTTTGATCTCGTGTGAGTCACTTTATTTTTAAACAATGAAAATAAACTTAATACATGTATATCTTTATTTTATCATGTTACAGAACTATACTAACAAAAGCCTGATTTAGAATTAAAGGAATGGTACAAACAGACTGAGGGTGCGAAGGTGTGGGGTTAGTCCTATAATATATGAACTCGGGGGCATTATTTTCTATTTCTGTTTTCTTTTTACCATGTTTACTGATTTTGCTATTTTTCTTCTTTTTTTTTATTATCAATGTGCCACCCGAGCATTAAAAAAAATATGAAAATATCAGCATGAAAACGTTAAATAGTGATCAATAGTGAATATATAATGCCTTCGCATATATTATAGGACTAAGGGAAGTTATATAGTTATGGGGTACCCCTCATTACTAGTAATTAGACGTTAACGATAAATATTTTACTCCATTTGACCCTAACGTGGCTACGAAATTAGATTTTACGAATGACGATATAAAATCAAGACTCATTTGACGCTAACGGTAGCGCATAAAGGACATTGTTGATGTTGAAAATGACCATCCCCTCCTCTTTGACTGTTTGACACGAATATTTTTCAAAACAGGCTATACATGTTCACAACTTGCCAGTTAAGGGTCAAATAAACACATAAATAAGATACCAGCCATAACGATTATACATAGAACAGAAATTAAGCCCATGCAAGGTTTCAGCCGCAGTGAATTTCTACAGTAGCGAGTATTTTGAGATAACCCCCCCACTTTGTATTTTACGTGATACCAGGAACATATATATTACACTTCACATCAAATAAATCAAACTTATTTTGGTAATTTTATATGACAAAATATATCTACTAAATGATAAAACTTGTATTTATTTACAATTAGAGTTAAGTGGTTTATTTGTTGAGCAGTTCTGATAGTTTTCAGTCAGACGCTACCAAAATCCGTAAATCTCGGGAAGTCTCGGGGAGTCCGAGATTTTATCAATTTTATACTGAAAAGCGTATCAGATTCATTCCCCGTTAGATATACTGATCACATTTGGCTGTCAAATATATTAAAATCTATGTTTTCTTATGTAATGACTCTACCTTCATCGTTGTCTATTCGCCACTATGTCTGTTATTCATGTACATGGTCGTATTTATCAGTGCAGTATGCTGCTCAACAATGGCGGCCCTGACATTTCTGTTGTCCGAGTATGGCGCCAAATTAGAGGGAAGGAACTCGCGCCAGACAAAATTACCGTATTTCTCCATAATAATAAAAATTTCGCTTTTTTATACCAAACAGTAAAATGTTAATCACATTTATATTCAGCTATCGTCCATTGATATAATTACAAACATTATTTTATTAAAGACATCAATAAAAAGTTCACAAGAAAGTAATAAATGGAGTGCATTGAAATCAGACCTCATGGGGTAGAGGGGTTAAACAAAAGCTCGTAACTTTTATAAAAGCCTGGTGACCCCCATTTTATTTAACCTTAAAAGTTCATAGCTTTGACATATCCGTTTTTAAAAAAAATCTACCGGGGAAATTTTACGAAAAATCGATTTAACCAATATTTTTTAGCCTTAAAATGAAATTGGAATATGCAAAATTTAGACATAAATCTGAAAATAAAAGGATTTCTATGTCTAAAACAACCAAGGGGAACGTTTATATTTCAAATTTAATTGTTTTTTCACATAATAATCATACTGACATGGTTCTAAAAGTCTTTGAATTTGATGTAGTCGTTATTGTTGAAAGGGTGGAAAAGTTTGGAAATAGGGTAAAAATCGCACATTTCGCTTCCATATGAGGGGAAAACGAGCCTGGTGACACCCTTTTTTCTTTGCATTTTTGGATTCAGCATAAAAAAATCTACTAAATATGTGAAAATAAAAAAATTCTACCGGGGGTCCTTATTGGGATGAGCCACCTTAACATATTGGATGCATTATTATCTGTCCTTGCTACTGTATAGTAAGTCTTTAATATTTCAAGAAAAAAATCGAAAAGTTCTTTTTAGAAGTTGTAACAAAAGGTTCTACTCATGTTTTAAGAGATATTAAACGTATATTGAACATTTCTAAAAAAAAAGAAGAACTGTTTATTTTCTCTCTATCTTCTTTAGCTTTTGCTCAAAACACAAAAAAAGGTACAACAAATCCTCATTTAAGGGCAATCACTCTTCTAAAGAGTGACAGTCTACTAAATACATCGGCAAAATTTGATTTGTTTGTAGATCTTGCCTTGCTGATCATTTTTGTTATTTAGTTTCTATTTATCTATTATAATCTTATCATATAAGGCAAAATCGCAAAAAAATGGTAAAACTCGTCATTAAAGGGAATAACAATGTTAGGTGGAACACTAATTGACGTATATTTCGTGACTTAGTGTATGGTCCTTACATACTATGATCTTAGGAACTTTATCAAATATCATGCTTTTTAAAAATGAATTGAGTAACTTATTCTGTTACCATTTTATAGGTTGTCTTCAAAATCATTGTTTTCCAGACCTGTATCAGTTAAGGTTCTATTTGCTTTTTTACCAATATTACAAGTAATATTTTCCAATTCGATCAACATACCTAGTACATGATACTCTAAAGATGGAGTGACCATCGATGGCGTTTCAGTATCTTTGGGCAATCTAAGAAAATAAAACTATACAAATATAGAACATGAACTTTGTCATTATTAAAAACTAGTTAATATATCATATATAAGACAGTGAGAAAGACTCCTAATGACACAGTTTTAGAAAATTATATACATTAAACATTATATATACTGAAAAATTATTACACCAGGGTTTTCGATATCACAAACTAGTCAAAACATTTACTAAATTTTATCATCGGTACAAGGACATCATTCGTAAATATAAATTAACATGCAGACATCTTATACGTTCAGGTATTTCACATCTAAACTTTTATGGTAATATTCTTTACAAAGCACAATAAAATGCTGTGCGCAGCTTGATACGACCGCAGAGGTCGAACCCTGAACAGTTGGGGCAAGGATGGACACAACATTCAAGCTTGATACAGCACTGAATTTGGATTGTGATTAAATATTTGACACAGCATAGGTTTCTGACACAGAATGAATGTGGTTTAAGAACTTTAAATTTTTTCATTTACCTATTCCAACCATATCATTATTATTTGCTTTTATATATAAATCAGAAATAACCAATTTAAGATGGAAAATTTTAAAGAAAAAAAAAGGAAAAAAAATCCCTCCCCCCAAATTTTTTGAACCTCCTTATGATTCATCACCCCCCAAACTCAATCCCAGCCTTCCCTTTGTGGTATGGTACCTTGCAGTACAATTTCAGAGAGATCCATACACTTGAACACAAGTTATTGTCTGGAAACTAGAAAAATGCTTGTTTTTTGTCCCTTTTTGGCCCCAAATTCCTAAACGTTTCGGGCAATTACCCCCAAACTCAATTCTAGCTTTCTATTTGTGATATGGAACCTTGTAGTACAATTTCAGAAAGATCCATACACTTACACACAAGTTATTGCCATGAAACTAGAAATATGCTTGTTTTTTGCCCTGTTTTTGGCCCCTAATTCCTAAAATTTTGAGGCAATTACCCCCAAAATCAATCCCAGCATTCCCTTTGTGATATGGAACCTTGTGGTACAAGGTTAGAGAGATCCATACACTAACACACAAGTTATATCTGGAAGTTACAAAAATGTTTATTTTTGGCCCCTTTTTGGCCCCTAATTCCTTAACTGTTGGTACCATAACATCCAATATCAATCCCAACCTTTCTTTTGTGGTATTGAACCTTATGGTAAAATTTCATAGAGATCCATTCACTTAAACTAAAGTTAGAGTGCGAAAACCAATGTGTCTTCGGACGACGACGACGACGCCGGACGACGACGACGACTACGACGCCAACGTCTTACCAATATACGACCGCAAATTTTTTTGCGGTCGTATAAACATGTCGGCATTCACCTCAAAAGCTAACCAAACCTTTAAACAGATTTATTCGGAAGGCATATAGTTACGATACTGTTGTCAAGTCATTAAGGATTGCATGTTTTGGTATTAATATTGATTCACTCATAGGGTCTTTGCATCGGAAATAAACACATTTATTCTAAAACCAGTTGTTGGCATGATACGGGTTATGTTCTTCTCATATATTTTATGATGGTATGATACTAAACCCCTAACGGGAGGGATTGTACTTGATATTCATATGATGAAGACATAATCTTTCAATCAGTTTAATTGAGGTCTGGAGCTGGCATGTCAGTAACTGCTAGTAGTCCTTTGTTAATTTATGTATCATTGTCATTTTGCTTAGTTTCTTTTGTTACCTATTCTGACATCGGACTCGGACTTCTTTTAAACTGAGTTTTACTGTGCGTATCGCTGTGTGTTTCTTTATTCTACATTGGCTAGAGGTATAGGGGGAGGATTGAGATCTCACAAAACATGTTTAACCCCGCCGCATTTTTGCGCCTGTCCCAAGTCAGGAGCCTCTGGCCTTTGTAAGTCTTGTATGTTTTTTAATTTTAGTTCATTTATATGTTTTGGAGTTTAGTATGACGTCCATTTTCATTGAATTAGTACACATTTTTATCTAGGGACCAAATGAGGACCTGCTCCGGGTGCGGGATTTTCTCGCTGCGTTGAAGACCCATTGGTGGCCTTCGGCTGTCTTTGGTCTTTGGTCGGGTTGTTGTCTCTTTGACATATTCCCCATTTCCATTCTCAATTTTATTGGTACTTTTTAGGGAATATACGGTCTCAACAATTATCAGTTGACTGTACAATTTGTCAAGTCTTACTCGTCCAGTGTCTATAAAAACGTTGTAAACAAGATTGCTACGCCGTAGCGAAATGTCCCGCGGCTGTATAAATGAGGAATTAAATTTTGTGTGTTTCTTTGTGTTACGATTCAAAATATGGTAAAAGTCAAATAACGCACATGCAAATGGTCAAATAAAAATGGCGGTATAATATGGTCAATTACACATGATGGCAAACAACCTACCAAGTATGAGAGCAATAATTAAAAGAGATCAAAGGAGGATTAGGATATGATGTGTTGCGTTTCTATAGGCACTCAGTATAATATAAAGGATTGTTTAAGGAATGGCTTTTGAGGGGACTTCTTTCCTAGGAAACTCAATAAAATAGAATTTTATAGCTAAAGGGATTTTGAAACTTTAATTTTCTATATAATCTATGTACTTTACATAAGAGTTTGGTTTAATTTTTAAATGTGTCTTGAAATTGCAAGGAAAATATGCCACTGGATGTTAAGCAAGCAACAATCAACAGTCTTCATGATTAACATACATGTTATACAGCCCAGGATAGTAAAAATGAAAGTCAGGGCAATAAATAAGCCATATAAATTTAGAGAAATGTTTGGGCATGTAAGTCTTTTTGTAAGGTTTTCATGATGTCTGAAACAATCAATCAAATTTGATAGAGAAAAGATTAATCACATTCTGTCATGTGGTCTAGAAAGATTAATGAAAGTGATGGTGATGTCGGCAGATTCAGGAAACAGGACAGATATCTTTTTTGAAGATGCTACAAGATATACTTACACGAAAGTTGACATTAATTCACAGTAAAAGCTACTTTTCCATTCGTTTTTATTTAGACACTTATAATCTGAAAATGATAAATTAAAACGAACAAGATCTTATTTAATACACTAATACTTATTTAACTAAATATCGAGGACGATATGCATAAAATGACCGTATTGAGACAAAATGTTGTGCCAAAGACGAAACATTATATCTTACTGATATATACTTTAAAAAAATCTTTTCATATATTTAAATTTCATTACGGAGTTTGTTTTTATAAACAAATCTTAAATTCGACAAATAGTAAAATAAAAATACCAACTACTGTTCAGTTTATAACCAAACGATGCATTATGATATTTGAAACATATCTAATTATCATATAATTTAAAGTTAGTTTTTGTTTTTGTTTGTGGGTTTTCATATTACCAAAATCTCCGATACCAAACTTTTAATTTTATGTGCAGAAAAGGACATGCGATTCTTTTGTTAACCTCATAAGAAACATTGTTGCCTATTCAGTACTTCAGTCTAACAATAAATAGTATAAAGAGGTAACAGTATCTAAGTAATCAAGCCAAAGTGACTCAAGTCTGCTATTGTAACAAATACACAAAGCATGACCTTACCGCTATTTAAATTTAAATTCAGTAAACGATAATTCAAATATTTACATGATCTTCCGATTGCTGCTTCTCCCCGGAAAAAAAACCAACGTCACAAAGCAGATATATTAACGTCAAAATATCCTATGCATGACGGGTTTTTCCCCCAAATGACCCCAGGTCAATCGGGGCAGTTAATTCATAAAATCGAAATTGGACTCTTATGTATTACATGTGTACTACATATATTATGAACCTCATGACAAATTCGTTGGCGGTTTGATTTTAATCGTTACATACTATATCGAAACTATTTGAGGTTTTAAAAATTTCAAAAATCACATTTATTTACCGACAATGTTCATGTTCCAACTATCAATGATCATTTGACTGTACAATCTAATAAGCTGATCGAGGTGCAAACTTTAACTAGTATTCAACATGTGCAATTTTTCCAGTTTTTTTTAAGTCTTAAATTTTTAAAGGAAATGTGCAAACAGCAACATTTTACAATCGTCGTTGCAAGCAAATGCTTTGCATTTTGTCGAATTAGTTGGGAAAAGCATGTGACCATGTGAACATCATCAACTGCAAACTCTGTCAGAGAATTAGGGGAAAAAATACTCCTTAAAAAATTGACAGCTCATGTACTTGCATACCTGGAGATACAATGTAGTTAGATGGACATATCTTAAGAAGACAGGAACAATCTTCCTCGGATGGTACACAATAACATTGATGTTTTGGTCTTTTTACAAAATCATATCCTCTCGTATAGTCACAGCGGCATAGCCTATCATTTCTCTTCGTTCCATTTGTATAAACGTCTTGTCCTTCCTCAGTGCAGTAAGATTTTTTATAAACACAGCGACTGTTTCCAGAAGACAGGAATTTAAAAGGTTGGTAGAAATCACTATTACACTCAGCTCCTTGCAGTGTTCCTTGAGATGAACCAGCAACTATAAGCTTTAGTCCTTAATATACAAAGAAATATTTTCCAATTGTTTTTTATGAGACACAAATTGCACAAAAAGCATATCAGACAGGAGAAAACATAACAGGCGGTTTGGGAATAGACCCCTTCTTTTTCTTTTGCCCAATTCTTTCTTTTTTAATTTAATGTGTTTTATAGGTCCATTTTGGTCATATGGCAGATTCCAAATAAGAAAGTTGAAAAATTCCCAAAATTATGTTTAACAAAATCAACACCAATAAGGTTCTGTTTTGGAATACATGTTATACTTATATAAGTAAACACTTTTTGACAAAACATAGATCTATTCACATTATATTTTTTAAATAAAGGACACCTTAAAAAAATGTTGCTATCATAACAAAATTGACAGACATTTTGACGGAAAATTCTTATGTTAGCAACACAAACAATCCTGATATCTTCAGTATTTTCAAGGTTTGGATGTATATCTTGCTAAAATATGAAAGTCAAGTTGGATTAAAATATTTCTTAACATCTGCACCAATAAAAAAGGAATTGTAATAACTTTAAAAAAGGATTATCTTGGAGTTGCTAACATAAGATTTGACAGACATTAAAAATGCTGCTAACATAAGATTTGACAGAAATGAAGTTGTTGCTAACATAAGATTTGACGGACTTTTTTATACGCCCGTTTACGGGACGTATTATGGTATACCTTGTCCGTTCATCTGCCCGTCAGTTCGTCTGTCCGTCCGTCCGTCGTCAACATTTCGGACATTAATTCAAAAACGCTTTAACCAATATGCATGAAACTTTGGTAAATTGTTTATATCTATTGACATGAGCTCCCTTTCGTTTTTTATAAATTTCAGATGTACCGTTTCCGAGTTTTGGGGTTTTATTCATTAAAAAAGGGGGGATTTTTTCAGTTTTCGGACAATAACTCAAAAACAATTTCACCAATTTGCAAGAAACTTTAGTGAATTGTTTATTCCTATCGACATGAGCTCCCTTTTGATTTTTATAAATTTTAGACAATACGTTTCCGATTTATGGTTTTTTTTTTCATTACAAAAAGGGGGATTTTCCAGTTTTCAGACAATAACTCAAAAATGCTGAAAGAATTTTTTATGAAACTTTGGTAAATTGTTTATATCTATTGATGTAAGCTCCCTTTTGATTTTTATAAATTTTCGATTTTACGTTTCCGTGTTGTAAGATTTTATTTGTTTATAGTCTGACAACAGATTTACTAAGTATTGCGCAACAGCACAGTGTATTGCACAACAACACATTGTATTGTACAACAGCAAGAAATCTTTAATTGAATATAAATTCAATTCATATAACCAATTTCAAGTTCTTTGACTACATTTATTCAGAAACCTATAATATGTCAAATATTTAATTACAATTCAAATTCAGACCTGTATCAAGCTTGAATTTTGTGTCCATTTTTGCCCCAACTGTTCAGGATTGGACCTCTGCGGGCGTATCCAGCTGCGCTCAGCGAAGCAGTTTATTGTTGCTAACATAATATTTGACGGACTTTTTTGTTGCTTACATAATATTTGACGGACTTTTTTGTTGCTAACATAAGATTTGACGGATATTATTGTTGCTAACATAAGATTTGACAGACTAAATAGTGTAACATATTTGTTAAGGGGCCAGCTGAAGGACGCCTCCGGGTGCGGGAGTTTCTCGCTGCATTGAAGACCCATTGGTGGCCTTCGGCTGATGTCTGCTCTATGGTCAGGTTTTTGTCTCTTTGACACATTCCCCATTTCCATTCTCAATTTTATTTTATTGCTAACATAAGATATTGACGGACTTGTTGCTAACATAAGATTGTGCTAACATAAATAAATTTGACAGACAATATATATTTGAGATTTTTAACTAACATTGGAGATCTTATCCTAGTTGAAAGTCATATTTAGAACTCCTGCAAAATAACGCTGCCTGACATTTACAAGATTTCAACCCAGGACAGATAACTCTTAATTTGTAGCACATCCAAATGTTGCTAACATAAGATGACAAGTTTGACAGAACTTATGTTAGCAACAGATTTGATAAAACTATTGATTGAATAAAGTAAATTGAAAGATCCAAAATGTGTTAGTTTAATGTAAATTATGAAATACAATAGTTTTAACAGGCTTATATAAGTACCTACAATGATGTGGCAAGATTTTATAAACAGGTTGCTATGATTATAACATTTATTGACAGACGAGCATCTAATAAGCAAGGTATTTGAAATTGAAAAAAATATATATAACAGATGTTTTTAACAAAAGAAAAGCAAAAGATTTGGAAACAGGGATGTTTGAATAATCAGACTACACTAATAAAAACAATTATACCAGTGTCAACTTAAAGCATTGTAACACATAAACCTTGTGTCAAAAAATGGGAAGTAATTTACGTCAAACATTTCACATTTTTCAACTTGTTTTGATCATTTCTACTTTTAATGGAAACAATCATATCCAATAATTGGTTTTCTTGCTTTATTTAACATTAATGTTCAATAAAACATTCACATATTATCATTCAAATAACAGTTAGTATTATTTTTATTAATTTGTTCTTTTTGACGGAAATTTTCTTTTCTTTATGGAATCTGCCATATGTCTCTTACCGTGTGTCATTACTTTCATCATTGGCTTTCATATTGAGGGTTTTTAACGTTCTTGGTATAGGTGAATCTTCGACAAACCCTTCGAACTCAACAAATATAAATGTATTTAAAAAGTGTATGTTTATAATGTATTTTTTGCCGCTGAAAATTATGATGCCATAAAAAAAAATCCACATAAAACCTCTTCTACAGACACTACAAACACTTCACCTGAAATATGCGAACTATTATGTCAGTCGCATGAAATTTTCAAAAGTTGATCGTTTTTTTACATCGCGATGACCTTGAGGTCATCCCGATGTATTGCTATCGCCTAGATTTCCATTATGTAAATTAGTTTTGGGTTTGTAACCGATCTATAAACATGATAAATACGCGCACATAAACGAGTGCAAAATAACATTCCTTATCGTTTGATATAAATACATCTCTTCAATGAATACTGATAAAAATATTTTTGTTTACAACATAAATTAATAATATGAAAATGTTTTGTAGTTAGATATATATATATAAGTAAAAAATCATTGATAATATCAATGCACACGTACCGAAAAATTGTGTTAAAGCATGCGGAAGAATATCTCAAAGAACGTTTTGTGAAAATACCGTCAAGGACCGGTAACTCTGTAATTGATTTTGCGGGAAAATATGAATGCCTACTCGTATCCAATCTTAGAAAAATCGAATTTTTACAGAAAAGTGTCCACCATGCACTTGCATTGCACTATTTTTAGAATAGTAGAATAGAATGATATACAAATGGATTCAAATCATATATATATGTAACTGTTATTTTAATATAATATAAACAACAACTCAGTGTATACTGATTTGTATCACTACAATATAATAGTTATTACGGTGAAGTTGAATTTCCTGTCATTTATTCATCATCCACGCACGAACTTGTCTCAGAAAAAAATATATCTCTGTACATTATCCTCAGTTTTAGGTAAAGAGATATGTTGTTTTTTTCTGAGACAAGTGCTTTTGACCATCCTCAAAAACTTGTGGTCATCCGATGTTCAGTACTTCAGTACTTTGATTATAAATTATTGATGCTGGTCCAGAATAAAATATGTAACTTTAAGTTATCACTATACACGCCCTACTGGTATCCATCCAACATTAACGAGAAGGGAATTAATTTGTGATGATATTTCATAGAATTTTAAATGGAGCGCCGTGTTAGTGCAAAGTGTTTATATATAGACAATAACTGTTTAGTGTCTTTAAATATCAGCTGTATTTGTACGAGGCTAAGAAACAGGTGTAATGCGAGCTTCAGCGAGCTATTACTCCTGTTTATAGCCGAGTACAAATACAGCTGTTATTTGAAGACACTAAACAGTTATTTTCTTTATCCTGCAATTAATTTTGAACATTTTTTTTTCAATCCCAATCGTTGAATTTGTTTTTGAAAGAAATCGACATGACTTAAACGCGGACCGCAATGAGGACCCCAAATTGAACTGTGACGTATGTATACAGTAAAACATTTGACATAACCATTCGCTCGCAACAGAAGCTGGATACCAGGAGACTATATAGTCTAGTATACGTATATCGCTTCGTGTTATCTGTACACCTGTATTCGTATAGTACAAAGGTCAATTGCAGGATAAATTCAAACATCTTTGTACATGTAAACCACATTTGCGTCTATCTGCATTCTTCAACATTCTTATCAGACACATGGCTTATGGTAAATACTTCTAAAATATTAATTTTGGTTCCAATTTGAGATTCCAACAAACCTTTTTCTAACAGTTTTATCGCATGAATTGTTATGTTAGATACAAGAATCTAGAAAACTGATATGTCAGCAAGGGCCCCGCAGGTATTTTTGTGTAAGGCACAGAAACAAATAATGTATACTGATACAAAAAAAAGCAATGCATGTTTGTGGGTAATCATTTTTTCTTGAAATTTGTAGTACAAGCAGATATGAAATTAAGCACCTCATGAAATACATATTTTCCTTTGAGATCTATATTATTTTCAAATCCCATGAACGAATGACATTTCATAAACCAAAAAAGTTTATGATACAATTTGTGATTTTTAACCAAAAACAATGTTTTTACTTACTAAATGAGCCGAAATCCACCAAAATATAATATGCAGATCTACATATTATGTCAAGTAATGATATATATATATATATATCACAAACAATTATAAGACATGGCAGAAGAAATTTGGCATAATTAGAACATAAGAGAGTGTATTACCTGGTGCTTCAAAATCTTTATTTTCTTTACAAAATTCAGTAAAAATGTTGTCATTCTTATCATACAAGCAAAAGTAACTGATGTAAGAACCACAATACGTTTCTGCTCTATGTTTCCAGTGTGATTG